TTGGATTAATAATTATACAATGATTCTCAGCCAATCAACATTTTTCAAATATGTTGTTATTAGCAACAAATTCAAGTTAAATTTCATCAGTCTCTTAGTTGAGTAAAATGCAGTAATTACATTTCAAATAAAAAATATTATAAATCAATATTTTTCCTGCTATATAAAACACATTTTCAAAGAAACAGAATATTAATTTGGGTATTGTATTTACTTGTATGTTCATGTTTTTCCTTTTTTATTTTTTTTACTAATATTCACTTTATACAAGACCCAAGAGACACTCAAGGTAGAGCGTTAGTGAAAGCAGATTTTGTGTGAGGAGTAAGAGTAAGGAGTGCAGTTTATATAGATACAATGGTTAACCCTAGACCTGAAGAGGTTAAGATTGTAGTGGTTGGGAAAACATCCTCCTGGGATTCTGTTCCACAAAGAATTTGTCAGAGTAGAACTTACTCCTTACTAAAGGAATACAAAGGAAATGATTGTGGTTTGTCTCAATCTACATGGCGTGACAGGTTTTAGTTGGGAGGGTTAGAGTTGAGAAAACTAAAGAATGTAGCTCGTTTAAACATTTTCCTTGGAACTAAAAAACAGAGTAGTAAGAGACTTGCAATTTTTATGTGTGGAAAATGGTTGTAAGATGGTAAGCAATTTATCACTGACAAGGCCACATAGTTGCTTTTGGACTCTATCAAGACTAGAAAGTGAAGACTGGGCAGTTCCAGCCCAGGTATGGCAGCAGTATTCCATATTCAGCCTAATCTTGTAAAGGTAGAGTATAGCAGGGGGAGTCAGGTACTTACTAGAATGGTACAGGGAACCAATCATTTTTCCAGCATCTTTGGCAATGGATTGTATAGATGAATTCCATGAGGTCTGGGGTGAGAATGTCCCAATAAGTATTCAAGCAAGAGACCTCCTTGAGAGAACTTGAGAGAACACCTATTCATTACAAGAGATGGAAATTCAGGTGCTGAATGATGGTTTATGTCAAGTTATTTTACAAGTGGTATTGCTACCATGCAATCTAGTACTATCTGCCACATGAATGGATCCATCAGTGACTAAACTTGTTTCCACAAAAGGGTTAAAAACAAAACCTGTCAAAGAGTGGATGAAGCTTCTTGTAGGACCAACAGTCTTCTGCTACAATGGAGAAGACTAGACTCCATAGCTATGTATACAGCAAGTGTAATGATGCCATAGAATCACTGGGTGGAGAGCTTCCTAGCCTGAAGTCAACAAAGAGGGTGCAGGGTTTCCTTGATAGAATCAATGTCCAAGATCAAGAGAAACTTTCAAGTTGGAGGACATTGTTTTACCTGGACTGGGATGAGTTCTGTTATGTTTACTTGTGAAGAATAAATATCTGTCAAACTTTCAAACTACATATATCGAGGGAACTGGTCAGATGTTCAAGTGTGCAGTAACCCTATGACCACACTTGGTCATGGGAATAATGATGATGAGGAGGAGAAATAACATGAAAATAATTAATATGAAAAGTTTAAACAGTTTTATTTGTGCTGTTTGTTTAACAGCATATCAACTCTTTATGGGTCATTTAATACTGAAATTTATTTTTCTTGGAAGCATTAGAAATTCTTTTTCAAAAATGTATTACTGGTAATTTTTCTTTTGCAAAAATGTATTGCTGGTAATTCCTTTACTATGAAAATGCATTGCTGACACTTCTAATACAAAAATATATTTTTATACTATCATAGTGTTTTGACTGCAGTCTGGAAGTTAACTATTTACCCATAGCTGAGACCCTAACAGATGCTACCAGCCTGGGTACAACAGCAAATAAGAGGTGTAAATGGTTTTTTAACACATACAAACCATAAGCCAAAAGCTTTTAATTTAATAATATAAATGCTACAATTACATTTTGATTTTTTCATTTTCTAATAATTTTGCAAGTTTACTTTATGCTTACATGATACCAACCAATCAAGAAAAAGGGAATAGCCATTAAGTGCAAGAATACAGAAAGTGTGGTTATTAGCAAAAGAAAAAAAAACCAAAGTGTAAGTTTCAAACTGGAGATGACAACAGCAAGCAAGTACAGGCAGGTAAATAGCTGGGAAATGTTTTAACTGAGGATAGAAAACATGACACCAAAATCCGAATATACATTGGACTAGTGAAAGAGGCATTCCAAACGCTAAGCAAAGTACTGAGAAACAGAAAAATTTCATTAGAAGCAAAGAAAAGTATGCTTGATTGCTATGTGATATCCATCCTCCTATACAGCAGTGAATGCTGGACAGTCTTCCCACAGATGAGGAAAAAACTGGAGGCAAGAGAAATGTGGTTCTACAGAAGGATACTGAGAATTCCATGGATGGAGCAAGTAAGCAACATGGAATTCTTAAACAAAATGGTAACAAAAACAACATATATGCTTAGAATCAGGAAGAGATGGCTGAAATACCATATAATGAGAAAGGAGAAGTTGGAAAAATTAACCCTTATGAGCCATATTGGGGGTAAGAGAGATAGGGGAAGGCAGCAAGATACCTACCTAATGAAGTTTTGGAGATTCATGATTGACTATGTCCTGAAAGAACATGGCACATAAAAGATGATGTTCAATCTTCTGCAAATACCAGGTGTTGGCAAGATTCTAATGCATATTTTGCATTATTGTCTTATTTTTTTTAATCATTTCACTCCAAGCAAGGTGATAAAGACACTAAAACACAAAAGGTTAATGAGTGTGAAAGAATCTGAGAGAAAAAAACATTATCAAGGAAAGAGGTCAATACAAGAAGTGAAATTAAGATTTTGTACAACTGAATTGTACAAGAAATTATATATAAGTATATTTATACTTATTACCTATTTTCCCAAACACAGAGAAACTATAACATATGCATTCAGCAAACAGTATGAAAGGAGGAAAAAAAGAGAGGGTCTTACTTGTAATATTTCTTAACAAGAAAATGAGCAGGTTGGTGGTTTCCTTTATGTGCCTGTAACATCCATCTTCTCCGCAGCTTACATTACAACTGGTGTGGGCAGACACATTTTGCCTTTCCACATGCTAAATGGCAAATGATATTTGACACTCTAGAAACTGATGTTACACACTGGCCATCACCTGATCCTCATGACTGTCTCAACCAAAGAGAGATAATTACCCTTGGCATCTCTACATGTTTCTTAAGGTGTGATCCAGTGCTGCATTAATTTTGCAAGTTATTTTGATATATGTTAATTCTTGGGGTTATACATTTAAAATACTGAATATAAAATATCCCCCTTAAGCCCACACAAAGCAAAACAGGATAGAAAAAAAAGCCTTCCAAAAGCTAAGCAAAGTATTAAGAAACAAGAAAATTTCATTAGAAACAACAAAAAGAGTATGGAACTGTTATGGAATATCAGTTCTCTATATGGCAGTGAATACTGGACAGTCTCCTCATAGATGAAGAAGAGAGTTGAAGCAAGAGAAATCTGATTCTACACAAGGATGCTGAGAATACCATGGACAGAACATATGAGCAACAACAATGTTTTAGAGAAAAGAGAAACAAAAAGGGCACTTATACTTAAAATCAGAAAGAGCCAGCTGAAATTTCTAGATTACATAATGAAAAAAGAAGGCTTGGAAAATTGATACTCACAAGACATGTTGAAGGTAAGAGGAAATCAACACACAATCTAACGAGCTTGTGAAAAATGGATAACACAACAGGATTTAGAAGAGATAGCAAAAAGACAAAATGGATAAAGGATAGGAAATAATGGAGAGCTACGATCGCTAACAACTTGAAGCGACATGGCATATAAGAAAATAAGAACCTGAGAACAGAATGTGCAAAAATGTCCACAGTAATAATAATAAATTTGAAATTTTGATAAGAAGATAAGCCTTTATTGCAACATATCTTCATCACATATTAGAAGCACAACTTTTAAGACATTCTTCATGCTTTTAGCTTTAATGGATGATCATTAGTGGAATGAGAATTGCTCCTTGAATTTTTGTTTCTAAAGCCAACATCTACAGAAACGGATATTAATGGCCACATTAAAACATACATAAGAAGTAGGGGAAAGAGTTTCAAATGTAGATGGTACAATCATAGGTCATCATTTAAGCTAGTAAATCTTAGGTACTCCAACAAACTAACTAACCATGTGTGGAATTTAAAAGAAAAAAAACAACAGGGATCTTATTGCAAGATGAAAATTTTTAAAAAAGCAAAACCTTACAACAACCAGAACAATATTTGAAACCTCTGCCAATAGGAAAAATTAGCAATTATGTCATTTTCCAAAGAAACTTTTAAACCAGAAATCCAAAGTCTTAAGTCCTTGCTTACATATCAGAAAATTTCTTTTAAGCCCATATGAGGCTGGATAAATAAATAAAAAAAAAGTAGTGTATGTTTCAATTAACTCCACACCAATACATTTACAATACCCTTGCTTTTCTTCTCTTCCCCCTTCTTCACATCCTCTTCCTCCCTTTCTATTACACCCAACATTGTGCGTTTGTTTATTTATTTTTTAAAACAATAATATAGCGTTCATTAATTTTTTTTTAAAAAAAATATTGTGAGGAGGTCATTTGATAAAAATCGCCTGAGGATACCGTAAGTCTGAAACCAAGGTAGCGGATTCAACTGACCTCTGAATTTAAAAAAAAAAAAAACACATGTCTATATGGAAATATATGACTTCACAACAATCTCACAATATAAATACCCTTTCAATACTGTCAATGTAACTAGGTAGATGACTCAAAACAGCAATTCTGTCTGGTAATCAGATTAGAATTATGCTATATGCAAAATTAAGCTTCAATGTTGGGGTAGTGGAAGGTAAATGAAATAAAAGTAAGAAAGAGAAGTAATAGTGAATAGAGACAGATACACAAGGGAGAGTGAAATGGGGGAAATATAGAAAATAAAAAGAAAGAAAGAGAGAGAGAGTGGGGCTAGCAAAAGGAATATAAAAGAATATAAGAAGCGATTAAAGAGTTAAATGAAAGAGAAAAAAAATTGATAGCCAGAAATGGGAAGATTAAGATATGCAGAGAGAATGATAAGTAAAAAAGAAAGTATTGGAAGAAAGAGGGAAAAAGAAAGAAAAAAAAATATGTAGTCAGGAATAGTGAGGAGTAAAAACTGGGAAAACTTTAAAAAGAAAGAGATGTAGGAACTGAAAAAAGTGGGTGGAAGAGTAGAATAAATTGCTTGCTGCAGAAGGAAAGATGAAAACAAAACAATATGAAGAGATGATGGAAACTTATAGAGAACAAATGATAAAAAAAGAGAAGCAAACAAGGGTGGACAGAATGAATGAGAAATGAAAGATAAAAAAAAAAAAACGAGTCAAACAAAGTCAGGCAGAATGAAGGAGAAAATGAATGATAAGAAGCTGAAATGAAAAAAAAAAAAAGAAAAGAATGATAAAAAAAAGAAAAGACAAGAAAAAAAAAAAAAAAAAAAAAACAAAAAAATGAAAAAGACAGGAAAAGAAGGAACGAATGAATGACAAAAAAGAAAAAAAAAAAAGAAAAGATGGGAAGGAAGTAAAGAAAGAAAGACAGACAAGAAAGGAAGGAAAAGGAAGAAAGAATGAAAAAAAAGAAAAAAAAAAAAAAAACAGGAAAGAAAGAAAAAAAAAGAATGGAAGAAAGAAAAAATAAGGGAAAATAGGAAGGAAGGAAGGAAAGAAAAGAAAAAATAAAGCAAAGAAGAATGAAATAAACTTAAAAGAGAAATAAGAGTGTAAGATTGTACTACAAAAAAATGTAAACTCCATATGACAAGAATAAAAATGACAGTATAAAAAAAAATACCACAAAGTGTAACTGTAAGCAACAAAAAAAAAAAACAGCTAAAAAAAATGTTGGATAAGTAAAAGCTGACGATATAAATTTAAACATTTTTTTAACCAGTAAAAACAGTTATTCTGGAATAACAGAGCTAAAACGTTAAACGAAACTGAGTAAAAAAAATAAACAACAATTTTTAAAACTATTTTACACTTAAGTACTTACTGCATTTTTTCAATAAATATAAATATGGAAAAAATTAAAATTAATAAATATGTTATATTTTTCAGAAAACAGGTAACCTTCCTTAATACATATCGACTTGACTGTGTCCATAGTCTAAAAATGAAAAAAAAGCATTTATTTTACACAACAAATATTTACTTTTTAACAATCACTTTCTTGTCAGTGCTCTTCATTCACTGATGAATATAAATCGTACAGATTGAACATTATAAAATGAAAATTTCAGATCAAAATTTAGCTAATAACTAATTCAGCTGATAACAGTTATTATCTGAGTCTTGATTTGAAATTTTTCCTAAAATTTGCATAGAGGTCTTTGATTAAATGCATTAGCAAGGAAAGATTTCTTGTGTAAAATAATTAATAACTTTTTCTGTTTGAATTTCTGGAGTTAAGTGCTACCATTATTTGCACTATGTGCAGACTAGTGTCCTCACTTTTTTTGTTGTTACTAAAATGTTTCAGTCATTGTCAGGTGTAAAAGGTTCAGTTGAAATTCCCTGTAGGTTACCTAGATTGACCTACACCTGATGAAGATGGAGGGCACAACAAGTGAAATGTTGTGATAACAACAATAAAAATGAGGCCATTAGTAAATAGCAGCATGTAAATAGTGTAAATAAATTACTTTTTTATTATTAGGTTTACTTTGTGTGTGTGTGTGTTAATAAATATACATTTTTCTCCACCATTAGCACAACTCAGAGTTTTATGCACAATGCAATCTTCAGCTGCTGAATTTGTTATATTATATCAAGTACTATTTTATTAACACCAGCACTCAACATGTAATATATATATATATAATAAAAAGGCTTAAACACTAATATTTCATGATCATAATTTATTCCATTGGAATCGTAAATACGATCCAATTCAACAGACCTACAAATTCAAAAAGAAAACAAAAAAACAACTCCGGAAATAAAAATAGAATTTGGAGAGAGTGTAAGTATGAGAGTGTGGGACGAATGTTAGTGTTAAAGAGAGGGGTAATAGACGGAGAAGGTGGGAGACTAAAACTTAACAGAGAGGGTTTTTTCTAACTAGAGGTGAGTGGAAGGGGGAAATATGAATGTTGTCGGATGTCTAATACATTAAAGATACATTTCGTGGTGACATACACACACCATAGATGATTTAATCTTAAAGATCAGAATAGGAGGGAGGGAGAGAAAAGGAAAGAAGAGGTGGGAGAGAGAGATGGGGTGGGGGAAACCAAAATTGAAGGACATTTACTCAAAGGGCCACTGTGTAATTGAGAAAATTTGACAAAATTAATATCGACTACAGGTTACAAATCAAATATAAAAAAAAATATACATGTATGTATGCACCTATGTATATATATCTATATATTTTGCATATGTATGTATATTTACCACTAATATTATCTATATATATATATATATATATATATATATATATATATATATATATATATATATAGATGTGTGTGTGTGTGTGTTTTATTCAATTCACTCGAGGTAAGGCAAAATTGAAAATTGCCAATAAGATGTAAGAGGCTATTGGAAGGGAAAAACTTTAGAAGTAACCAGAAACCCCAATCCTAAACAGGAAACAAAGAATAAACCTCTGCTCCTGTTCAAAACGCCAGATAGGAGTGTGAACCAGATGATAGATGAACCTATCTATTCCTATTTGGGGGGTTTAATAAATAATAAATACAATTTCAGAGTTCAAGCAGAGACATTTATAGTATTGAAGTAGAATTTAGAAAGAACCGGAAACCCAATGCTAAACAGGAAACAAGGGATAAACTTTTACCCATGTTGAAAAAGTCAGGAAACAGGAGTAGAGTTTATCCTTTCTTATATATATATATATATATATAATTATATTAATTGAAGTCAACACTTAGAGGCGATAGGTTGTTTCATGCTAGGCATAATCGTCAGACCTGACAATTGCATCTAGCATGAAACAGTCTGTTGCCTCTAAGTGTTGACTGTTCACTATATTTACACATTATCTCTGATATTGAGCACTTTATCCCATAAATATAGCATACCTTAAGAGTATATTTATATATATATATATATATATATATATATATATATATATATATACACAATTCATATACGAACCAGTACTTTGCAAACAATGAAAGCCTAACTTTCAACATAAGGCAAATGTTAGTGGAAAATACTACACCCCATTTAGAAATGTTTTTGAGAGCAAGGGGCTACATGTCATGAAAAAGACCAAGTTTATGATTTCTGGTGCTGACCTGAACAAGAATCTGATGCATTTCCTGTGCTGCCTGCTGCAGTGAAATATTATGAATTCAATCTTTGTGCTTCAAATGCAACACCTGGATGCACAAAAATATGTAGCATCACCAGTAGGCTAATAGAATTACCAGATTAAATCTGCCCTAGATGCCATAATGAAATTGCACTCTATTGATGGCAAGCCCACTACCCAAGTCACCTTGGATGGTCCAAAAAAAAAAAAAATGGATATTGAGTCCCATTTCTGTTATCTTGGGGATATGCTGTGTGCAGATGGAGGTTGTCAGCTCGCCATTATAGCCAGGTGCTCTGTGGATTGGGAAATTAAAAAGCTCCCTACCCATTCTCATCCAAACACATATCATTGAGAACTTGTAACAAATTGTTCTCTGTGTGTGTATGACCTGCACTGCTCCATGGCACCAAGAGTGTCGGTCTTGTGGCAGTTCTTCTGCACTGACTACTAGATGATTTGCTGATATATGACACCAAACCTCAATATAAAACACCCCCTCATCCGAGATGTTAACAAGGCTTAGTATTGAGGATATAACATCACTGCTGTACACCTGTTGTCTTAGATGGTTTGGTCATGTCCAATAAGCTTGTCAGGTTAACCACCTAATTTCCAAAACCACTACTCTCCAGACTATAAATACCCTGCAATATTTTTTCTCACACTCTTCTTACCTTATCTGCTTATTCGTCAACATATAAATCTTTTGCAAAGCATGCATTCCCTTTGGAAAATGCATGGATAAAAAACACACGTATGTACACACATTCACCCGTTTCACATATTTTGAACCCAAACAGTTTTCACATTCTTTTGTTACACACATCATTGTCTTTGTCCCTTGTAACCTTTATTGTTAATATATTACCATTTGTTTGTACATATATATTGGTTCTTGTTGTTTTTTTGCATTTCTTTATGTGGATTCATATACTGAGTCCGCCATTTTTGTTGTGGGTATTTTCAGGAGACAGCATGCTGTTCCCAATTTCAAAAAACCAATGTTATTAATGCCCGAAAAGAGTTGGGAATTCTAATCCGGCCCGCAAGAAGCTTTATCATGCATCAGGATTGTCTCGGAGTTCAGAGTTCCTGGTCACAGAGGTTGAGGTAAACCTAGGAAGATGTAGAAGGACTGTATCAGGAAAAATATGCAGGAGTGCAGCCTTGCCCACATTAGCCTGCTTGACAGGGATGCTTGGAAAGAAGGAGTGAGAGCTAGCCAATTGCTGTCTACATCACTGGGAAACCCACAGCAGTATAATCAAGCTCCAGATCTTGACTTGACATTCAATGCAAGAAAAGACTCAAAATGTCAGAATTTTTAGAACAAATCAGCAACCCACATTAAGGAAAATATTTTTCACCACAGGTGATGATATCATAAAGTTGGTATGAAATATTGAATATGCATTAAAAAATGCATATTTGATGCAATCTTTTGATGCAGTCTTACACCTTTAACCATTATACATGATGTCACTGTTTCAGACTTTCAGCTCTCTATAAAATACCAGAAAGTAGCCAACAGAATCTTGCCAACCACAGTGACAGGACATGTTTTGAGCAACAGTACAAAAATATACTTCAGATGGTTTATTCACAATTTCAATCTGTATATACATCATCTTATTTGAAGAATGCAATAAAAAGTTAAACATATATATATATATATATATATTTTATATGTATATACATGTATGTATGTATATATATATATATATATATATATATGTGTGTGTGTGTGTGTGTGTGTAAAATATATAGAAAATAGGAAAGAACTCGTTAGGTAAATAATCCAAAGTTCTTTAGTATTTCTGTTATTATTTTTTAAAAATAGTGCTCGATGCAAAAAGTAGAGCATAAATATAATTATTTATTTAAAATATGAGTCCAACATACATAAGAGTTCTCATGTTTCAAAACAAGAGCCGAAAACTTCAATATAATCATTTGAATTAAATTGAAGTTTTGGCTCTGTTTTTGAGAACTATCATTGTTGGAATCATATTTTTAATAAATAATTATATATATATATATATGTATATGTGTGTGTGTGTGTGTGTGTGCATGCATGCATGCATATATATATATATATATATATATATATATATATATATATATATATATTATATTATAATTATATAATCCCGACAGAGTTATAAATTATTGACATTTAGAAAAACTTTCACGAAATTATGTTTTTCGAAAAAAACATCTGACTATGCATTTTTAACCTGTTAGGCTTCATCAGATTGAAGATGTAAAAATAAGTTTTGTGTATGTATTCTTTAATTTATTTTCTACCCATTCTGAAGGATTTCTATCTCTAACCTCAGACACTTAAAGCAAAGAATATAAAATGTTAAACAACTTTTTTAAAAGTCACTCATTTTTTTTCTCTTTCTTAGTCACGACCAATGTCAGCTTGGAAAAATATAAATTTCATCATTTTAAACACACACAAAATACATACATGACCGTTTTTCCAAATGTCAATACATATATATATTATAATAATATTATGAATACAATAATATTAAGATGGCCATCAAAATCCATTACTCAGAATTTCATGCAGTAATACAATATTCAGGCACTGGATAAAATATGAAACTAATTGATATAATCTGGACTATATAATCCTGATATGGCAAGCATCCTTCACCACAATAAAATCTGAAAACAATGACTATATTCCAATTTATATAAGTGTTAGTTTCCACCACTAGATAAAATATGAAACTAATTGCAATAATCCAACATATAATTGGGGTGGGATACCCACTAAATTATATATATATATATATATATATATATATATATATATAATGCAATGTTACATTAGAACATGTACATACCAACTACAAAAATGCACATCATGTTTCAATGTTAAAAAATGTTCTAATGTAACACTGCATAATAGATAAATATTTATTGCTCTACTTTTGTATTGAGCCCTGTTTTAATTTTTAAAATATATATATATATATATATATATAGGTGTAGGGTTTATGTGTATATACACACACATATACATAAAAGGTGTGCTGGAAAATTTCAGCTCTATCCCCTTTTTAAAATCAGTATGTCAATGACAAATATCAGAATATATATTTTGAAAGGTTTGGGTTGGTTTGAGAACTTTTCAGCTCACCTGTGTGTGTGTGTCTGTGTGTGTATATGTCTGTGTATATTTCTCAAACAGCATTTTTTATTAAATTTGACTGACAATGTTTGTCTATTGAATTTTTTCATTAGAAAAATTGAATAGACAATCTTTGTCAGTCAAATTTAATAAAACAGGTTTGAATAATTCTTGCAGCTGAAATATACATTTTATCTATATCATTTTGTGGATGGAGAAGTTCTCTGGACTACAATTGAAATTACATGTTTCTCTATTCATCTGTTTTCTTTTCATATTTCGACTTTGTCAGTTTCTGATTTCATTAATACCATTTTATTACATTTTGAATTTTATTCTGCAATTTTCGGAATTGAAATTTGTATATAAACAATTTTTTCTATCATAATTTGCTTGTTCAGTATAAATATTTTAAAAATAAGTTTTTTCTTCTAAATTTTACCAATAATATTTTTAGACATTTTTATTCTTTTTAAAAGTCATTTCACCCGAGTAAAGGCAATAAAAGCCACTAAGATGCAAGGGGTTACTGAGTATGGGTGATATGAGAAACAGAAAACATTATTAGAGAGAGAACAATAAAAGAACAGTAAGACAGAATATAATAATTGACATTGTATTTTAATTTTTGAAGATCAAGGTTAACTAGAAAGCAAAAACACAAGAGAGTTCCACCGGTGAGAAAATTGGGAGAAGGAACTGAAGACAAAGATATTTTTTTCTATTAGTACTCATAAAATAAACCTAAGTCAGTGATTCCAAATGGTGCAGCATACCTCATAGGTGTGTTGTGGGGAGTGGATAGCAGCTGAGGCAGAATGACTGAAAGATAATCAAAGATTTAGGAAACAGTTTTAAAAAATTCATATGCAAAAATGAATGATTTCAAAATTTAAAATATTATTATTGATTACTTGTAATTGCATGCATGAGTCCCAGTATAAACAGTCATAAATAATTGTTAACCAATTTTATCATTGTGATATTTCTACGTTATATCACTTACTAAGAATATAGTAACTAGGGTCCACATATTGGAGGAGAGAGTTATCAATGATAATGTTCCTGACTTTGAATCCACAATTATCTCCCTTTAACCCTCTCGTTTTTTTTTTTGACTTTTTAAGTGTACTTATTATATAAAATTTGGTGAGGCATGAGCAAATTTTTCATTTCAAAAATGTGTCCCAGAGAAAAAAGTTTTGGGAACCACTGCCTTAAGTAATGGCCAATCTTACAAAAATTGGCTAAAATTGAGATAATTTTATAAAAACTTCCAAATAAATTAATTTAAGTGTTAAATACATATAATTCAAATATAGGCATATATAGAAGATTTTTTTTATTGCTCATAATTATGCAGTATCTTTAAAAAGATGCAATGCTGAAACAAAGGTTAGAATAGAATTTGTTAGAGTTCATACCTTTCAAGTAATTTTCATTAAGTGATTTTATGGCAGAACCTGACATCAAAATCACCTCATTTGACAGATAGATCATCAGAGACCATTAAAAGTTCATATTTATAAAAAGACATTAATTGATTAATAATTATACAATGATTCTCCAGCCAATCAACATTTTTTTCAAATATGTTGTTATTAGCAACAAATTCAAGCAAATTTCATCAGTCTCTAGTTGAGTAAAATGCAGTAATTATATTTCAAATAAAAAATATTATAAATCAATATTTTCCTGCTATATAAAACACATTTTCAAAGAAACAGAATATTAATTTGGGTATTGTATTTACTTGTATGTTCATGTTTTTCCTTTTTTTATTTTTTTTTTTTACTAATATTCACTTATACAAGACCCAAGAGACACTCAAGGTAGAGCGTTAGTGAAAGCAGATTTTGTGTGAGGAGTAAGAGTAAGGAGTGCAGTTTATATAGATACAATGGTTAACCCTAGACCTGAAGAGGTTAAGATTGTAGTGGTTGGGAAAACATCCTCCTGGGATTCTGTTCCACAAAGAATTTGTCAGAGTAGAACTTACTCCTTACTAAAGGAATACAAAGGAAATGATTGTGGTTTGTCTCAATCTACATGGCGTGACAGGTTTTAGTTGGGAGGGTTAGAGTTGAGAAAACTAAAGAATGTAGCTCGTTTAAACATTTTCCTTGGAACTAAAAACAGAGTAGTAAGAGACTTGCAATTTTGCGTGTGGAAAAATGGTTGTAAGATGGTAAGCAATTTATCACCGACAAGGCCACATAGTTGCTTTTGGACTCTATCAAGACTAGAAAGTGAAGACTGGGCAAACTCCAGCCCAGGTATGGCAGCAGTATTCCATATTCAGCCTAATCTTGTAAAGGTAGAGTATAGCAGGGGAGTCAGGGCACTTACTAGAATGGTACAGGGAACCAATCATTTTTCCAGCATCTTTGGCAATGGATTGTAGATGAATTCCATGAGGTCTGGGGTGAGAATGTCCAATAAGTATTCAAGCAAGAGACCTCCTTGAGAGAACTTGAGAGAACACCTATTCATTACAATAGAGATGGAAATTCAGGTGCTGAATGATGGTTTATGTCAAGTTATTTTTTACAAGTGGTATTGCTACCATGCAATCTAGTAATTATCTGCCACATGAATGGATCCATCAGTGACCAAACTTGTTTCCACAAAAGGGTTAAAAACAAAACCTGTCAAAAGAGTGGATGAAGCTTCTGTAGGACCAACAGTCTTCTGCTACAATGGAGAAGACTAGACTCATAGCTATGTATACAGCAAGTGTAATGATGCCATAGAATCACTGGGTGGAGAGCCTAGCCTGAAGTCAACAAAGAGGGTGCAGGGTTTTCTTGATAGAATCAATGTCCAAGATCAAGAGAAACTTTCAAGTTGGAGGACATTGTTTTACCTGGACTGGGATGAGTTCTGTTATGTTTACTTGTGAAGAATAAATATCATCAAACTTTCAAAACTACATATATCGAGGGAACTGGTCAGATGTTCAAGTGTAACCCTATGACCACACTTGGTCATGGGAATAATGATGATGAGGAGGAGAAATAACATGAAAATAATTAATATGAAAAAGTTTAAACAGTTTTTATTTGTGCTGTTTGTTTAACAGCATATCAACTCTTTATGGGTCATTTAATACTGAAATTTATTTTTTTGCCGGAAGCATTAGAAATTTTTCAAAATGTATTACTGGTAATTTTCTTTGCAAAATGTATTGTTGGTAATTCCTTTACTATGAAAATGCATTGCTGACACTTCTAATACAAAAATATATTTTATACTATCATAGTGTTTTGACTGCAGTCTGAAGTTAACTATTTACCCATAGCTGAGACCCTAACAGATGCTACCAGCCTGGGTACAACAGCAAATAAGAGGTGTAAATGGTTTTTAACACATACAAACCATAAGCCAAAAGCTTTTTAATTTAATAATATAAATGCTACAATTACATTTTGATTTTTCATTTTCTAATAATTTTGCAAGTTTACTTTATGCTTACATGATACCAACCAATCAAGAAAAGGAATAGCCATTAAGTGCAAGAATACAGAAAGTGTGGTTATTAGCAAAAGAAAAAAACCAAAGTGCAAGTTTCAAACTGAGATGACAACAGCAAGCAAGTACAGGCAGGTAAATAGCTGGGAAATGTTTTAACTGAGGATAGAAAACATGACACCAAAATCCGAATATACATTGGACTAGTGAAAGAGGCATTCCAAACGCTAAAAAAGTACTGAGAAACAGAAAATTTCATTAGAAGCAAAGAAAAGTATGCTTGATTGTTATGTGATATCCATCCTCCTATACAGCAGTGAATGCTGGACAGTCTTCCACAGATGAGGAAAAAAACTGAGGCAAGAGAAATGTGGTTCTACAGAAGGATACTGAGAATTCCATGGATGGAGCAAGTAAGCAACATGGAATTCTTAAACAAAATGGTAAATAAAAAACAACATATATGCTTAGAATCAGGAAGAGATGGCTGAAATACCATATAATGAGAAAGGAGAAGTTGGAAAAATTAACCTTATGAGCCATATTGGGGGTAAGAGAGATGGGGGGGTAGCAAGATACCTACCTAATGAAGTTTTGGAGATTCATGATTGACTATGTCCTGAAAGAACATGGCACATAAAAGATGATGTTCAATCTTCTGCAAATACCAGGTGTTGGCAAGATTCTAATGCATATTTTGCATTATTGTCTTATTTTTTTTAATCATTTCACTCCAAGCAAGGTGATAAAGACACTAAAACACAAAAGGTTAATGAGTGTGAAAGAATCTGAGAGAAAAAAAACATTATCAAGGAAAGAGGTCAATACAAGAAGTGAATTAAGATTTTGTACAACTGAATTGTACAAGAAATTATATATAAGTATATTTATACTTATTACCTATTTCCCAAACACAGAGAAACTATAACATATGCATTCAGCAAACAGTATGAAAGGAGGAAAAAAGAGAGGGTCTTACTTGTAATATTTCTAACAAGAAAATGAGCAGGTTGGATGGTTTCCTTTATGTGCCTGTAACATCCATCTTCCCGCAGCTTACATTACAACTGGTGGGGCAGACACATTTTGCCTTCCACATGCTAAATGGCAAATGATATTTGACACTCTAGAAACTGATGTTACACACTGGCCATCACCTGATCCTCATGACTGTCTCAACCAAAGAGAGATAATTACCCTTGGCATCTCTACATGTTTCTTAAGGTGTGATCCAGTGCTGCATTAATTTTGCAAGTTATTTTGATATATGTTAATTCTTGGGGTTATACATTTAAAATACTGAATATAAAATATCCCCCTTAAGCCCACACAAAGCAAAACAGGATAGAAAAAAAAGCCTTCCAAAAGCTAAGCAAAGTATTAAGAAACAAGAAAATTTCATTAGAAACAACAAAAGAGTATGGAACTGTTATGGAATATCAGTTTCTCTATATGGCAGTGAATACTGACAGTCTCCTCATAGATGAAGAAGAGAGTTGAAGCAAGAGAAATCTGATTCTACACAAGGATGCTGAGAATACCATGGACAGAACATATGAGCAACAACAATGTTTTAGAGAAAAGAGAAACAAAAGGCACTTATACTTAAAATCAGAAAGACCAGCTGAAATTTCTAGATTACATAATGAAAAAGAAGGCTTGGAAAATTGATACTACAAGACATGTTGAAGGTAAGAGGAAATCAACACACAATCTAACGAGCTTGTGAAAATGGATAACACAACAGGATTTAGAAGAGATAGCAAAAAGACAAAATGGATAAAGGATAGGAAATAATGGAGAGCTACGATCGCTAACAACTTGAAGCGACATGGCATATAAGAAAATAAGAACCTGAGAACAGAATGTGCAAAAAATGTCCACAGTAATAATAATAAATTTGAAATTTTTGATAAGAAGATAAGCCTTTATTGCAACATATCTTCGCTCACATATTAGAAGCACAACTTTTTAAGACATTCTTCATGCTTTTAGCTTTAATGGATGATCATTAGTGGAATGAGAATTGCTCCCTTGAATTTTGTTTCTAAAGCCAACATCTACAGAAACGGATATTAATGGCCACATTAAAACATACATAAGAAGTAGGGGAAAGAGTTTCAAATGTAGATGGTACAATCATAGGTCATCATTTAAGCTAGTAAATCTTAGGTACTCAACAAAACTAACTAACCATGTGTGAATTTAAAAGAAAAAAACAACAGGGATCTTATTGCAAGATGAAAATTTTAAAAAAGCAAAACCTTACAACAACCAGAACAATATTTGAAACCTCTGCCAATAGGGAAAATTAGCAATTATGTCATTTTCCAAAGAAACTTTTAAACCAGAAATCCAAAGTCTTAAGTCCTTGTTACATATCAGAAAATTTCTTTTAAGCCCATATGAGGCTGGATAAATAAATAAAAAAAAAAGTAGTGTGTTTCAATTAACTCCACACCAATACATTTACAATACCCTTGCTTTTCTTCTCTTCCCCTTCTTCATCCTCTTCCTCCCTCTATTACACCCAACATTGTGCGTTTGTTTATTTATTTTTAAAAACAATAATATAGCGTTCATTAATTTTTTTTTTAAAAAAATATTGTGAGGAGGTCATTTGATAAAATCGCCTGAGGATACCGTAAGTCTGAAACCAAGGTAGATTCAACTGACCTCTGAATTTTTAAAAAAAAAAAACACATGTCTATATGGAAATATATGACTTCACAACAATCTCACAATATAAATACCCTTTCAATACTGTCAATGTAACTAGGTAGATGACTCAAAACAGCAATTCTGTCTGGTAATCAGATTAGAATTATGCTATATGCAAAATTAAGCTTCAATGTTGGGGGTAGTGGAAGGTAAATGAAATAAAAGTAAGAAAGAGAAGTAATAGTGAATAGAGACAGATACACAAGGGAGAGGAAATGGGGAAATATAGAAAATAAAAAAAAAAGAAAGAGAGAGAGAGGGGCTAGCAAAGGAATATAAAAGAATATAAGAAGCGATTAAAGAGTTAAATGAAAGAGAAAAAAAATTGATAGCCAGAAATGGGAAGATTAAGATATGCAGAGAGAATGATAAGTAAAAAGAAAGTATTGGAAGAAAGAGGGAAAAAGAAAGAAAAAAATGAATGTAGTCAGGAATAGTGAGGAGTAAAAACTGGGAAAACTTTAAAAGAAAGAGATGTAGGAACTGAAAAAGTGGGTGGAAGAGTAGAATAAATTGCTTGCTGCAGAAGGAAAGATGAAAACAAAACAATATGAAGAGAGATGGAAACTTATAGAGAACAAATGATAAAAAAAGAGAAGCAAACAAGGGTGGACAGAATGAATGAGAGAATAAAAGATAAAAAAAAAAAACGAGTCAAACAAAGTCAGACAGAATGAAGGAGAAAATGAATGATAAGAAGCTGAAATGAAAAAAAAGAAAAAAGAAAAAGAATGATAAAAAGAAAGAAAGACAAGAAAGAAAAAAGAAAGAAAGAACAAAAGAATGAAAAAAGACAGGAAAGAAGGAACGAATGAATGACAAAAGAAAAAAAAGAAGAAAAGATGGGAAGGAAGTAAAGAAAGAAAGACAGACAAGAAAGGAAGGAAAGGAAGAAAGAAGAAAGAATGAAAGAAAAAGAAAGAAAAAAAAACAGGAAAGAAAGAAAAAAGAATGGAAGAAAGAAAAATAAGGGAAAATAGGAAGGAAGGAAGGAAAGAAAGAAAAATAAAGCAAAGAAGAATGAAATAAGCTTAAAAGAGAGAGAAATAAGAGTGTAAGATTGTACTACAAAAAAATGTAAACTCCATATGACAAGAATAAAAATGACAGTATAAAAAAAAATACCACAAAGTGTAACTGTAAGCAACAAAAAAAAAAACAGCTAAAAAAAATGTTGGATAAGTAAAAGCTGACGATATAAATTTAAACATTTTTTTAACCAGTAAAGCAGTTATTCTGGAATAACAGAGCTAAAACGTTAAACGAAACTGAGTAAAAAAAATAAACAACTTAATTTTTAAAACTATTTTACACTTAAGTACTTACTGCATTTTTTCAATAAATATAAATATGAAAAAAATTAAAATTAATAAATATGTTATATTTTTCAGAAAACAGGTAACCTTCCTTAATACATATCGACTTGACTGTGTCCATAGTCTAAAAATGAAAAAAAAGCATTTATTTTACACAACAAATATTTACTTTTTAACAATCACTTTCTTGTCAGTGCTCTTCATTCACTGATGAAAATAATCGTACAGATTGAATATTATAAAATGAAAATTTCAGATCAAAATTTAGCTAATAACTAATTCAGCTGATAACAGTTATTATCTGAGTCTTGATTTGAAATTTTTCCTAAAATTTGCATAGAGGTCTTTGATTAAATGCATTAGCAAGGAAAGATTTCTTGTGTAAAATAATTAATAACTTTTTCTGTTTGAATTTCTGGAGTTAAGTGCTACCATTATTTGCACTATAATGCAGACTAGTGTCCTCACTTTTTTGTTGTTACTAAAATGTTTCAGTCATTGTCCAGGGTGTAAAGGTTCAGTTGAAATTCCTGTAGGTTACCTAGATTGACCTACACCTGATGAAGATGGAGGGCACAACAAGTGAAATGTTGTGATAACAACAATAAAAATGAGGCCATTAGTAAATAGCAGCATGTAAATAGTGTAAATAAATTACTTTTTATTATTAGGTTTACTTTGTGTGTGTGTGTTTAATAAATATACATTTTTCTCCACCATTAGCACAACTCAGAGTTTTATGCACAATGCAATCTTCAGCTGCTGAATTTGTTATATTATATCAAGTACTATTTTTATTAACACCAGCACTCAACATGTAATATATATATATATAATAAAAAGGCTTAAACACTAATATTTCATGATCATAATTTATTCCATTGGAATCGTAAATACGATCCAATTCAACAGACCTACAAATTCAAAAAAAAAAATAGAAAAAACAACTCCGGAAATAAAAATAGAATTTGGAGAGAGTGTAAGTATGAGAGTGTGGGACGAATGTTAGTGTTAAAGAGAGGGGTAATAGACGGAGAAGGTGGGAGACTAAAACTTAACAGAGAGGGGTTTTTTTTTTTTTTTTTTTTTTTTTCTAACTAGAGGTGAGGAAGGGGGAAATATGAATGTTGTCGGATGTCTAATACATTAAAGATACATTTCGTGGTGACATACACACACCATAGATGATTTAATCTTAAAGATCAGAATAGGAGGGAGGGAGAGAAAAGGAAAGAAGAGGTGGGAGAGAGAGATGGGGTGGGGGAAACCAAAATTGAAGGACATTTACTCAAAAAGGGCCACTGTGTAATTGAGAAAATTTGACAAAATTAATATATTCTACAGGTTACAAATCAAATATAAAAAAAAATATACATGTATGTGTATGCACCTATGTATATATATCTATATATTTTGTATATGTATGTGTATATTTACCACTATTATCTATATATATATATATATATATATATATATATATATATATATATATATATATATATATAGTGTGTGTGTGTGTGTGTGTTTTTATTCAATTCACTGAGGTAAGGCAAAAATTGAAAATTGCCAATAAGATGTAAGAGGGCTATTGGAAGGAAAAACTTTAGAAGTAACCAGAAACCCAATCCTAAACAGGAAACAAAGAATAAACCTCTGCTCCTGTTCAAAACGCCAGATAGGAGTGTGAACCAGATGATAGATGAACCTATCTATTCCTATTTGGGGGGATTTAATAAATAATAAATACAATTTCAGAGTTCAAGCAGAGACATTTATAGTATTGAAGTAGAATTTAGAAAGAACTGAAACCCAATGCTAAACAGGAAACAAGGATAAACTTTTACCCATGTTGAAAAAGTCAGGAAACAGGAGTAGAGTTTATCCTTTTTATATATATATATATATATATATATATATATATAATATATTATTGAAGTCAACACTTAGAGGCGATAGAGTTGTTTCATATGCTAGACGCAATCGTCAGACCTGACAATTGCATCTAGCATGAAACAGTCTGTTGCCCTAAGTGTTGACTTCAATGTTCACTTTTATATTTACACACACTATCTCTGATATTGAGCACTTTTTATCCCATAAATATAGCATACCTTAAGAGTATATTTCTTTATATATATATATATATATATATATATATATATATATATACACACAATTCATATACGAACCAGTACTTTGCAAACAATGAAAGCCTAACTTTCAACATAAGGCAAATGTTAGTGGAAAATACTACACCCCATTTAGAAGGCGGGCATTGAGAGCAAGGGGCTACATGTCATGAAAAAGACCAAGTTTATGATTTCTGGTGCTGACCTGAACAAGAATCTGATGCATTTCCCTGTGCTGCCTGCTGCAGTGAAATGTGTATGAATTCAATCTTGTGCTTCAAATGCAACACCTGGATGCACAAGAAATATAGTGGCATCACCAGTAGGCTAATAGAATTACCAGATTAAATCTGCCCTAGATGCCATAATGAAGTGCACTCTATTGATGGCAAGCCCACTACCCAAGTCACCTTGGATGGTCCAAAAATGGATATTGAGTCCCATTTCTGTTATCTTGGGGATATGCTGTGTGCAGATGGAGGTTGTCAGCTCGCCATTATAGCCAGGTGCTCTGTGGATTGGGGGAAATTAAAAAAGCTCCTACCCATTCTCACATCCAAACACAT